AACACACTGTACGTTTTCATCATCCCCCATTTGTCAAATTAAAACTTCTTCTTGTTCTATTTTTTTTCATAGCAATAAAATAAAAGAGCTCGGTTTATCAAATTTTCCACAGCATGCTGGGCACCCCAACAGATCAGGACCTGCAACTGACAGACCCAGCTCGTGACCACTAAATACGAAAATGAAAATAAAAACTGCTCTGAGCACTTCCAACAAAAATATTTATTTGGTCTGCTCCCTTCACACCTCAAGAAAGCCTTGGAAGGGGAAAGACAGAAAGAAGGAGGGGAAGAGAAGAGGGAAGGCAAGAGAAGAACAGAGGGAGGGAGGTTCCTTCACATGCTCAGGGCTCAGAGCCCAGGCCCGCGGAGGACCAGCAGCAGCACCCCAGGGAGAACCAACACAAGAAAGAAGCAGGGGTGTGTGGCCTGGGACCTGACCCCGGCCGGCTCTCACCCAGATTTGGCCTCAGCCCCACTCCATATACAGCAGGGCCCACTGAGGCTCCGCATCCACTGGCAGGTATGTTTACTGGAGCTAGAACACCATCCTGCAGGGACGGGGTGCTGCCCCCTCTCCGCAGGGCCCCCCAAGTGTCAGTCCCTCGACGTGCGGGGCTATTCTATGCGCAGGCCCTTGTCCAGGTCCCTGCTCAGTGCACAGAGCACCTCCAGACACCACTGTCGGTCTGCCCACTCACCGGAGACACCCGACATTCCCACCTCGAAGCTCCCGTGTGAAGCCAGAACAGGGGTCTCGTGCCCATCAGGGATACCCCCGTGTGCGCTGAGGGCCAGCACCTCACTCGGCAGGCCTTACCCAGGTCTGCCTCTCACAGTCAGCTCAGCAGGCTCTGAAATGTCTTGATAAGTTTTATTACAAAAGTAACTCAAGATTGCTTTTTTTTCAAAGATTGCTTTAACAAATAAAGCAATACAAGGATCCTGAAACACAAGTTAAACCCCCCGTATATACCCTCCCCAGATTGTCCCTAGTTCCCCCAAAAGACACAAGTGGTGCTTGTCACATTCTTCCTTCTAGTCATCTGCTGGAGGTGGGAGTGGGGGAGCACACAGATAGGCTTTCCCGGAAAACAGGACCATGTTATAACCACTACTCTGTAATTTTCTTTTTCTACTTATCACACAAGGGACATTTTTCCCAGTCAGGAAACAGACACTTAACTCATTTTTAAAGTATCTACGTAAGGGCACCTGCGTGGCTCAGTCAGTTGAGCGTCCAACTTGGCTCAGGTCATGATCTCACAGTTCATGGGTTCGAGTCCCGCGTCAGGCTCTATGCTGACAGCTCAGAGCCTGGAGCCTGTTTCGAATTCTGTGTCTCCCTCTCTCTCTGCCCCTCCCCTACTCATGCTCTATCTCTCTCTGTCTCAATAATAATAAACATAAAAAATAAAATTTATTTTATTTATTTTTTTTTTATTTCTAGGAGAGAGAGAGAGAGAGAGAGACAGCGTGAGCAGGGGAGGGTCAGAGAGAGAGGGAGAGGCAGACTCTGAAACAGGCTCCAGGCTCTGAGCTGGCAGTCAGCACAGAGCCCGACGCGGGGCTCGAACCCACGAACCGCGAGATCATGACCTAAGCGAAAGTCGGACGCTTAACCGACTAAGCCACCCAGGCGCCCCAAATAAAATTTATTTTAAATAAATAAAGTATCTATGTAACATTCCATATTATAGACCCACCATAATTTATGAAACTATTCCCATACCGGTAGATTTATAGGAGAGTTTTTGCCACTATGAATACTGCTGCAGACCCTTGCTTTTATATATGTAAATCCCCAAACAAATCATCAGTATATTTTTCATTTAATAGACATTGCCAGATTACATCCCAAAGACTGTACCCAACTCACATGCTTACCTGCGAAGTGCATCTGCGTCCACCTCCCTAAGCCCTCACCGGCATCATCATTTTAATGCTTGGCAATCTGCTGGGTAAGCTTTATATTCACATTCCCCCTAAGTAGTACTGAGGGTAAACATATTTTCATATAATAAGTGGACCATTTTCCTTCCTCTTCTGCAATCTACTGTCACATCTTTGCCCATTTTCCTATTCATTCTTAAAAGGTGTCAGAGCTCTTCATAATTATGAATAAAACCCTCTGATCCACTGACATGTTGCTAAATGGTTCTCCCAGTTTGGTTATCTTGTTTTTAATTGTGATGTTAAATAACATGACAGTAATAACATAAAATGTGACATCGAAACCATTTTTAAGCACACAGTCCAGCAGCACTGAGAGTGTTCACACTATTGTGCAACCATTACCACCACCCTCTAGAACTTTCCATCTTCCCAAACTGAGACTCTGTCCCCATCAGACACTAACTCCACTGACCTCCCCCAGCACCCACCCTCTGCTCTGTCTCTGTGGACCTGACGGCTCCAGGGACCTCGCAGAAGTGGGATCACAGGGCGTTTGTCCCTGTGTGATTGGCTGGTCTCCCTGAGCATGTGCTCCAGGCTCGTCCATGCTGCAGGGGGTCAGGATCTCCCTCCTCCAGGCAGAATGATACTGTGTGGTACGTCTATACCACATTTTGTTCATGCATCCATCTGTTGATGGACATTTGGGTCGTTTCTACCTCCTGGCTGCTGTGAATGAGGCTGCCATGAACATGGGTGTGCAAATATCTATCTGAGTCTCTGCTTTCCATTCTTGGAAGTATTCTTTTGAGATTGTAGACCATACGGTACTTCTGTGTTTAATTCTTTGAGGAACCTCCATACTCCTTTCTGTGGCAGCTGTGCTATTTTACATTCCCACCAATGACACTCTAGAGGCTCGTTTCCCCACATCCTCACCAACACTTGTTACTTTCTGTTCTTGTTTTTTATGGTAGCCACCCTCAGAGGTGTGAGCTGATCAGTATGTTTGTCTTTTGACTTTCTTTATAAAGTACATTACCCCATGCAAAAATTTTAATTTTAATTGTGATTTTAAAGATCTGTTGGACATAATAGGCGTATATATCTCTCTCTCCATCCTAAGAAAAGGAAAGGGAGGGGAAAGAAAAAAGAAGAAAATTATGTCTGACCATAGAACATTGAAGACTCCCCACAAGGGCCTGCCCTCTGTATCCTTAAAGGGCTGCTGGGCCACGCCTCCCTGCCACAGTTGCCCGTAGAGTGAACAAAGTGGCAACCGCGGAGCCAGGTGGTACATTTTCCTCACTGGCTCCCCATCAGCTACTCACAGCACACAATTTTGTGAGATCAGACAATGCCCGCTTTGTTGTTTTGTGGACTTTAACTGTGCTAGAAAAAACATCAAATATTGTCTGTCTCCATAAATCAAAGCCTGTGTACGTATATTTACATTTAAATTGCTTTCTTTTTCCAAAGAACTCAAAGCTACTATCTTACATGATGTTAGTAGGACTCCCTGAGGAAGGCAAGTTGAGGACAGGGAAGGAAAACCCCCCCGACGGTCATGATTCCAGGCCTGGTCTTGTCAAGGACGAAGGAGAGCAAACGAAACTATTGTTTCCATTGTGCAGCTGCCACTTACATCCCCAACTGAATTAAATATGCACATAGCTGTTGCCTTTATAATCAAACTTCACTGAAGGCAAGTGACACATTTTTGAAAATAAGATTATTTCTTAAAAGCTGCTTCCAAATAAAGCTGCGTGGAATAGTCACAAGCAGGCTGGGAGTGGAGGGCAAGGGAGAGGCCTGACTACGTGTAAGAGTCGGAGGCACTCAGGCTCTGGGTCCTGCCATCACGGAGGTTCTAACGTCTTCTCCCCCGGCCCGGGTCACCACTGTCACAGTCTGCACAGAACTTTCCCCAATCCCTGAAAACACACACATGCGCGCGCACGCACACAACAGAACCATCCAGGGCTGTCAGCAATTTGTACCCAGGGCACACGAGCTACCAGGACACAAGTATGATTGTTCCCAGCTCCGAAATTCCAGGTCTGGTCCACAGCACTGTTCTCTCTGAGCGACTCTCAAAGCACCTGGTTTTTGACTTTCAGACCCTCAAATGTGTCCCACGTCAGCCTGGCAAGGACCAGCTGAGTTCAAGAGCAGTCAGGCACAAGGCATCTTTCACTCATAGAAAGTCTTCCGGGTCCAGGTCCTCTGTGAGCCAGGCCCCACCTGCAGACACCCCCGCACCCCCATCTGCACAGAGAATGGGGACAGTCAGAGGCACCTGTGGCAGCATCCAGGCAGGGACAAAATCCTCACCCCAAACACGTCCCTGAACTACCCGGAAAGACCACTGAGTGGTAGGGAAACAGGCGCGCCCCTCACACTGGTCCTCCCACCACGACCCGGGCCCACCCACAGACTCCAGACGGCTTCAGGAGAAGCAGTACCGGGCGAAACCCCCATGCAGGTGTTGCACCCTAACCCCTCCCTTAGCATTTGAAGGCCACGACCCAGTGGCACACTTCCCAGATCTGCTGCCATCACACAGCACACAGGTCTCTCCTAAGAGGCAGCCCTTCTGAGTAAGGCAGATGTGCTGGGAACACATGTGCCCACCCCTCCCGACCCAGCCTCGGGCAGGGCTCAGAGCTCTACCTGAAAACACAAAGCACCAGACATTTCCTCTCTCCCTAATGAGAAAAGAAGCAGGTGGTCTAAAGGGTGAGCGGCTTCCTGTTGACGGAGCAAAACTGGGCTGAGGGATGTGGCAGGTCCATCCTGAGTTAGGGCACCAGATTCCATCTCCTACTGTTGTCAAGCGGCTCATGAGCGGCCATAAATCCTGGGGCACAGAGGCAGATGTAGATGCAGACACATATACGTGCATGTAAACAATGTGGTCCACTTCCATTAGGTTTCCGTTAACTTCTTAATCACGCCCAGAGAAGTTTCAGCTCCACAACTCTCTTCACGAGCATCAAAAAAAAAAAATGAACTTCACCCAGAATTCTTCATGCCCCATCCACAGTGAGCAGGTTAGCAAGCCCACGCCCACAGCTGCGTGTCGGCTGGGACTTGCACACTTACCGTTCACGCAGGTCTCAGAGGGTCTGCAGAGGCCATCCTCGAATAAACAGCCTGCAGAGGAAAAACAAAAGAGAAATGAGTCAGCGCTACAAAGAACAGTGTGGCTATCTGGGGCCATTACATCCACCGACTCCCAAGTCTCAAAGAAGCAACACAGACCCACACAGACTCTTTGGATTTGACTTTCTTGAGATAATGCTCAAGTATTTGGAAGTCTGGCGTGAGTCAGTGAGAGGGAGTTAAGTATATGTGGACTGGCTTCTCCATTGGGAAGGACACTCACATACATTCTGTCCCTGCCTGCCACAGGGAGGGGCCGTCTGCCCAGACACTATCCAGGTGAGCAGCAAGGGGAGCCTGGGGGGGCGGGTCACCCATGCAGACACTGCTTAGCCGAGCTCCCCAACAGGGTCAGACCCACAGGGCTCCATCAGCATCGTCACTAGAACAGGACCTCTGGCTCCTTCTTTCAAACACTGTGCCTAACACCCACTCCATGACACCCAAAGTGGACAGACAGCTGCATGTGCTGCCAGGAACATAGAGAGAAGATGGAGGAAGCGGACTCCCATCCCCCATGAAGAGAGACAGACAAGAACATGAGTGTACCCCCAAATGTATTTGTCCAACACAGAGGGGTAGGGATAGGTCAGAGGAAGTAGACACCCTGCTTGTGTTCAAGTGCATCTTAAATGCAGAGAAAGAACACGAGAGAAACATCTACCCTCCATAGGGCGAGCCGGCCAGGTGAGGGTATGAACGAGGGAGGGCAAGATCAAGACTCAGATGAGGGCCCTCCTCAGAGGCCCCAATGCTATATGCACACCCGCCCCAGTGAAGGGCCACAAGCCAACAGAAGGCTGATATATTCTGACCACACCATGCCTTCTATAGCAACACTGAGAGCATAACGCCAGTAAGCATAATGCCTGTATTCCTGTTTTACCAATGACAAATTCCTATTTATCCACTAAGAGCCATCTCAAAACTCACCCAGGGACTCTCCCCCAACCAGACTGGCAGATTAGTTCTGTTCAGGTATCCACCGTAGGACTTAAACACATTGTGCTGTGATTGTCAATTTAAGAGTATATCTTCCTCCCTTGAGTATGAGATTCTCAAGATTAGGAACCATATAAATTTATCTTTTATACTTTGCCATTTCCTCTAGGTAAACCCCTGAGTCTGGCCCGCAGCAGATGCCGGCGAGCGGCAGGATGCACCAAAGAGAAAGGCAGGCTAGAAGGAGGTTATTAACTACGAGGGGATCCACCCCCAGGTCACTCTAAAGTCTCTGGTTATTAATTTGTTCGCTAAGGAATTGCTGTAAAATCCGCAGAGTTGAAGCATTCTCTGAAACAAATATGGGCTGAGGAAGGCGCAAAAGCAGGACCGCAGAAGCTATGAAAGCAGATGCTGTTCCAGAAGCAGAGGAGCGAGTCTGACAGAGGACAGCGCTACCGCGAATTCACAAGAGCAAGCAGCTTCACCGTGCCCATCTCACAACTTCAACAGTAAGCTATTACAGTCCCCGCGTTACCTGGGAGAAGCCCTACGGGCAGGTCCGGGGCACACACCCAGGGAGCCGCCCCTCGGTCAGACACCCTGGACCTCAACTCAAAGCCAAAGGTCTGCTTCCCTGAAACAACACATAATCTCACAGCAAGTATCACTTCCTGTCTGAGTCTGGTTGGAACACACATCTTCGCTGCCCCCTTCATCCACAAACTGACCGTGTGCCGTGTCTATCTGCTGCTGCACACCCCCCCTCCGTCCCCCACTCCCCGTGGCTCTGCCCCCAGGGCCTCTCATTCACAGGTCCTCCTCACGGAGTGCCGGAGGCAGGCCCCGCGAGGCGGGAAAGGTACAACAGCCTGGAAGGAAAGCCGCCAAGAACCATCCACAAGATAGCCTGCCACCACTGACAGTCAGCGAGACCTGTAGCCAATCCTGTTCCCCAGAAGTGGTGACTCTGAGAAAGGCAACGGAGCCATCCAGTCTCAGTCTCCTGAGCAGGACAATCACGTTGGCTTATCTTTACGACTCTAATCCAGCCCCCCAGGAGACTGTCTCTTCTGGAAGACCAGTCGCAAACCACCAAGCCTTTCTCTAGGAGCCCAGGCAGTCTGGCCGCCCCTCCCACTGCCCCAGATGCTCAGAGGGCCACATGCTCCCTTCTCTGTGCCCAGGATCACCCGAGCGCAGTTCCAGTGCCACAGAAGACCACGGAGGAAGGCAGGGCACAGAGACAAGGGCGGCCCATGTTCAGAGCCACCACTCACTCACATCAACAACCCTGTTTGTCACGTGGAAACTGCAGATGACAGACTGTGAGGAGAGGCAGCAGGAAGAAGCATTTCCCCACTTCCTGTGCTGTTCTAGTCACAGCTGACAATTAGACTCAATGGGAACGAGACACGCATCGCAATTAACTCTTGAATCTCGACCCTGAACAACTGCTATCTGTGTGTGCCTCACTCGGTCCTTTGCAGGGAACTGGTTAAAAACCACAGCCGAGAGACTTCTACCAGCAGCGCTTCAAGCTGTTTATCAGCAGAGCTGCAAGTGTTCAGCATATTCCACCCGCCATGCAATATGCTAATTTATTTGTGTTGTTATTTGCTCTAAAATTAAGAAAGACCATATTTCATTTTAAGTATCAGCCACCTACTAACACTAATTATGACCATAATTCATGGACAGAAAAAGACGTGTGTGTGAGACACTTGGTCCCGCCCCGTGCTCTCCATCCGACACACTTCCTTCTCCAACGACACCCACCTCCCTCTCCCCTGGCAGGCTGGGCACGGCTCCAAAGTCAATTTGTTCACACTGCAATCTCACAGCCGAGCTCATGAATGGTCTCAAGACCAGGTGCGACTCCAAAGCCAGGCAGTTAAACCCACGAGGCAAGCCCATGAAGGAGTCCGTGTTGGTGCCCAGTGCTTAAAACCAGAATTCCTCGGCTGTCCTGGGGGTATCCACCCTCTCCATGAAAACAAAGGCAGCATTTCCATAATACTCAAACTACGCCCTTGGCTGACCACCCAGAGTCTGGCCGTGAAGGGGCAACACCCCTATCGCATCTATCCACAGACTTCCCTCCAGCTGCAGAACACACCCGCACGCTGACCGATTCGCACAGGCAGACACACTCAAACACACACACACACACACACACACACACACGACACTCACAGATCCGCAAACCGAATTTTCTCAGTCCTAATTCTGCTCCTCCTTTATTTTCTCAGAACACTGCGCAAGATTTCATCACCATCTCGACGCCTCTCTTTCTTTTCCTACTCAAACTGAAAAAGATGCGGCAGTTCTGCAGGCCCAGGCCAGCTCTGCCCCCCATCACTCCTGAGACGTTTAGAAAGGGCTTGGTATTTTGTGGTGGAAACAGCCCACGCGAGCAGGATCCCCACGGCCTGGCCAGCTGGAAACCACAGCTGCAAGGATCCCCGTTCCAGCCCTTCCACTCGGAGGGTGTCCCCTCCAGCCTGGGGCGCTGCTGCAGAGGGGAGAGCGGCCTGAAAACCGACGGCCCAGCCCAGCCACCCGCATCGCCAGTGCTCCGCCCGCCCACGAGCACGCGGACCGCCCTCGGGCGTCTGCTCTCCTCCAGGCTCCCTCTCACAGGCGTCCGCAGAGGCACCGAGACGGATGCCAGCGCACCCTGGGGAGCAGGACAGGTCCTGTGACCGAATGTAAGAAAAGGACGAAAGGAAAATGAATCGCTCACCAAATAATAAAACCGGTTCTCTCTCAGATGGAACACATGAGCAGGAGCGGTGGCTGTATTTTCTACGAAGCCGCTGGAAGATTCGTAGAACCCAAGTATCCTCAGGAAATTTTCTTAAAACTGAGCGCTAATAACGCTACTAAGCCAAGAAAGATTTAGTACTGTAGCCAAATAAAATGAAGACAAAATCCGGCTGGCGTGTGGATTCTACCCAAATGCACGTTAATAACTAGCGTTAACAAGTATGTTACCTCTTCGCAAAGGCAATTTCCCACAAATAACGAGGGCTTCTCACACACAGAGTCTCCTACTTGATCACTCCCCCTTCTCACTGAGCACTCCCAAAGCAAACAGCCCTCCAACGCAATGACTCTCCCAGCTGCCTACGGCAATGCCCGCTCCCATTTTGCAAAAACGAGGAGGCCTGGACCCAAGAAGGTTAATAATATGCACACAGCCTGACTCAAAGCTGCTGTGTCTCCCCCCACACGTGCTTTCTCCACTACTGCAGGCTGTTCCAGGTGAGAGGGCTGGGTGTGCGTCCACACAAGCGTTCACCGGGGCAGACGCAGGCCCTGACACCGCGAGGCCCTCACCTGGCGGAGCGGTCTGTCCGGATCCCAGCCTGACGCTCGTTCCTTCTCCTTCCTCCACCCCCAACCTTTGCTCTTCTGAGGGCCTGGAACACGTCTGAGGACAGGAAAAGACCAAGCCTTTGCCATTACTTGGCCAGAGATCCCACACGCGTGCACCCCTGGCAGGAAGGAGAGCCCCTGCTCCTGCTCACTGCTCATTTCACCACGTGACTCCCCCCCCTAGCCGGTACCGCTGGGCTCCCTGGAGCCGTGCGGAGCAGCTCCCACCCCGGAAGGAAGACATGGGAGGCTTCGCAGAGCAGGCAGCTGGCGACGCCCGGACTCAGGTGCCTCAGCCACATGTGGAGACGAAGGGTACGGGCAAAGCGGGCCTGTCCCGAGGCCCATCCTGCCAACAGCGACCCTGGCACCCCTCCAGAGGTAGCCAACCCGAGGCTGTCCCAGAGCAGACCACGAAGAAAATAAATAGCGGCACACAGGTCCAGGAACAGGGCGCCCCCGCTGGCTGCACCTAAGGGAAACCCAGGGTGGGCAGACGTCCTTTTGTTGTCGTCGTCGTCGTCGTTGGGTTTTGATTTTGGTCCTGAATTGGTGTATACGTTGTTTGTTCTCCACTAATCCAGACCATTTCCCTGCGAGCGGATTCTTGGCTCTCAGGCATCTAAGTAGCAGTGGTCCAAAAGCTGCGAGACGGCGCGTGTGTGCAG